GCCTCCTGGGTGTAACAGCTGTCCGTCAGACTTAAATATCTGATACATTTTCGGGAAATACAGTGTTTACATCCTAATGCAGACTGGCAGCCTCAGGCTGGGGGGGGGGGGGGAGGTAAAGTGGATCCCAGTGGGCTTGCATCTGTACCGGCGTGTTCTGACCTGTGCCAAACGGACCCGTGTTTCTCTGAGAGGCGCCTGGCCTCTTCCTGGATGCCATTTAGCCCCGGCCCAGTCCGAACACTCTTCCCTGAGGCGAGACGACTGGCTGGCGTTTTTATTTTTTCTTTTTATTTTTTTTTTCTATATCAATGAAGCTTACAGTCAGAAATAGGACCCAGTGAGCCGGGAAATGCGTTTGTGGCGGCCTCACAACGGCCAGCCGCCCATCGATCTGAAATGATATACATGCGTTTGTGCGCGACAGCATTCACCATGGATTCCCATTGATTAGAGCGCTGGATTCAGCGGGACTCGCCGTCTCGCTTTACTTACCTGCTTCTGTTTTTTTTTTCTTGTTTGTTTTTTTTCTGTTTTGAATCAGGCACGCATTAAGACGGCCAAGAGCAGGGTGGTGATGGCCTCACTGTATCTTGGGACGGGACCCCTGGAACAGGACCTGGTGAGACTGGCTGGGGTGCTGTCTACCTGGCTGAGATGGAACTGAGAGTTCTCCAGATTCATGAATCCTTTCCATTGGCAGTGTTTGGAGATTTCTGTTTTCATTCTGTGGCTTCAGTCAAAGCGACTTTTACCATTTAATACACTTCAGGCTGTTGAACCAGCAGCCTCTAAGGTTAAGTCCATGGCCTCAGGCTAGCAACATGCATATAGTTCACTTCACACTTCAGTTCAGTTTACTTCACTTCAATTCACAGTCCAGTTTACTTCAATTCACAGTTCAGTTTACTTCACTTCAATTCACAGTTCAGTTTGCTTCACTTCAATTCACAGTTCAGTTTGCTTCACTTCAATTCACAGTTCAGTTCAAATCAATTCAGTTCAGTTTATATAGTGCCTTTCACAAACGAGTTGCCCCAAAGTGCTTTACAAGGGTGTATTGTGATATATTACATCATTAAAATAGAATAATACAAAAACAGGGAAAAGGGAAGACAAAAAAATAAATGAACGGAGAGGAACAAAAACTCCAGAACTCCCACTGCCATGCCTTGTTTATAATATGTATTGTTTTGTAGAAATTATTATTAGGATAATTGTATTTATGCCGTGACCTCCTCACTCGCCCCACCCCGCTCGTTGGGGCTCTGCAGGTAGACTGCCTTCAGGAGGCTCTGGAGCATTCACAGGACACAGCTGGCACCTCTGGCCTCCGCGTCTCCATCCTGCTGGACTACACTCGCGGCTCTCGAGGTGCGGATTCTGCCAGCGGTTAATACCGTCCTCGTTTCCCAGTTAGCTTCCGTGTGGCTGGAGGGGTGGGGTCAGCTTTGGTAACGCCTTTCTCTGCTCACCTTCTTCTCGTGCCCTGGACCATACCTTCTTTGTCTTTCTCACGTCTGCCGTGGTGCTCAGACCCACAGGTTGTCTCATGAACTGGAAGCTGAAACAGGAGGCTGGAAATACCGGCGTAGTGCCGTGTGCAGGAATGGTGCCAGGGGGGTTCATGCTTCCAGGGAGGTTATCTGCGGATTCTCTCCTTGAGGGTTATCTGCATTCAGGTTGTAATATCTGGAAATATGTTACAGTTCTTATTAGCATTAATCTAGTTCTGCATATGGTGGAGATGTCGTGATGCTGACTTGCTCTCAGCTGTTCTTTGCTGAAGGGTTTGGTTTGCATTATTTTTTTATTTGCTGCTGCTTACCCTCCCCCCCCATTCCCTGGTTTTGTGCAAATGCTGTGCGGGGGCAGTAGGAGCTGAGAGCAGAGGTGCAGCACCATGAGCGTTGGAGCATGATCAGCTGTTTCTTACTGAGCGAAATGAAGCGCCCGACGCGTGTCTAAATGACCCGGTGGCACCTTGGTGCAACATCCGTTACCATAGGCCAATCCTGCGAGTGGGCGGGCCTTCCAGCATGTGTGTCGGATATTTGTGCCATGTTGGCGACGTAGCATGTGAATTCAGCGTGCCCGCACTTCTCGCTCCCTTGCAGGTACGAATAACTCTCGCTCCATCCTGCTGCCCCTGCTGCGCCGCTTCCCACAGCAGACCCGAGTCGCCCTATACCATACGCCCGATCTGCGGGGACTGCTCCGCCTGCTCGTCCCTGAGCGCTTCAATGAGACCATTGGCGTGCAGCACATCAAGGTCTACCTCTTTGATGACAGCCTCATCATCAGCGGGTCTGTATCTGTCTGGGTCTCTGCCCTCACCTGCCCCCCTGCCATGCTGCCCTTTCTCTCATGCCCCTGTACCTCTTTATGAACGTGACATGCACATCCTCAGGCTCTTCCTGCATCTTCTTGGGACAGGCCACCCCTCTGTTCCGTTTGTTTGGCTGACGTTCTGTAGCAGAGCGTCCTCCCTTCAGGGGTCCGCGGAATTTGTAGCCATCCCAAGAGTGACAGGAATGCTACCGTGTCATATCTTGAGCATCTTGTCCTTGTCTCTTCTGCAGAGCCAACCTAAGTGACTCGTACTTCACCAACCGCCAGGACCGTTACGTCCTGCTGGAGGACTGCCACCAGGTGGCAGACTTCTTTGCTGAACTAGTGAGCGCCGTGAGTGACGTGTCGCTGCAACTGGGGCCAGATGACAGCGTGCACATGGAGGAGGGGATGGTGCACCCGTACAAAGGTAGGCGGTGTCAGATTTGAAGGCTCAGAAATACCCCCTGTTTGCAGCAGTGTTGCCATGGGTTTTTACAATTGTTTTATATTGACATTTTTGATGAGACAATTATAACTCCTCTGACCAAGCTCTGGGGTTGTGCATATAAGGTTTTACTCGAGTCAGGTCTTTGACATTTGCAGCTTTCTGCAGTTTATCCATACATCTCTCATCTTTGGCAGTTTGTGTGACATGCATTTCTTGGTATTAGTGGCAATGATGAGTGGCGTGCAGAAGCGGGCATGCGCTGCACAACAGGCCCAGATGTCACCGGGTAGCAGTGTAGGGACAGATGGGTGCAGCAGGTGTGACAGCATCCTTCAGGCAGAGCCACACGCCCTGCATCCCGGATTCTGCTTAATTTTTAATCAGGCTCCCAGAGCTTTACTGTAAGTGTTGCCCCTCTCACTCATTCATCCCGGATCTGATCAATTCACAGCTGATTGCTGCATGGTGAGTGAGTGTGTGTGTGAGTCAGAGTGTGTGGGTCAGTGCGTGAGTCAGTGTCTTCTTCTGTGTGTATTAGGCCTGCACAGTTTTGAGATTTCTCTCATGATTGTTTCATATTATTTGCATTTCATATCGTCTTTATGAAGACGGAACAAACGCTGTAATTGTCACTAAAATGGGATTGTCACCCAGACTTTACAGAACTGGGTTTTAACAAGCAGGTCATTAACAACTAGAAATGCATGAACTTAAACCACATCTGCACTTAATTATAACACCTTCAAACAAAAAAAAAAAATCTACACAAGCGAATGTGACCCTGTTTTTGCTTCAAGCACGACATTTCTTGAACTGGAGTTTGTCTTTCATCTTCCTCACTGTCACCAGAAGGGTCTTCTGAACATTTTGTTCATGTTTTTGAAGCTTATTCTTTCACAATGTCACACATTTGATTTTTCTTTTCAAATTTGATTTTTCTTTTCAAATCTGCCCCCTCTTCCTGTGTACAGTCCATCATGCGGTGTAACGCAGTCCTGTCATTTGTTGATACTGCTTATGGAAGAAGGTAGTGCTTGATTTGAAACAACGGATCTTCCCGAAAATGCGAACACGGCAGTGGTGTAGGAATGAGATTGCATAGGCATGTGAATCCAGATCGAGATTTAAAGATGATTAACCTTGCAGCCCTAGTGTGTATGGCAGTGCACAGGCCCCGCCTCCGGCCTCGCTCAGCCAGCTGCTCTCCTTCACACATGCACGCTCTCGCTCGCTCACTCCAGCACAGCAGGCGAAACCCGATCCTCCTCAGTGCCAGTAACCGATGCTTGGCCTCCTGTTCGGCTGCCTTTACTGTACACGCTGGGTCCCGGGGGGTGGGCGGAGTTACTATATATAACCCAGCCTCGCTCGGAGGGGCTAGCCCCCAGCTGACCTGACCTAACCCCATCCCACTGCGGGTCGTCAGGCTGTGACCTCATTGTGGTGGTCTCTGATTGGCTGAAGGGCAGTGCCGTGATTATTTATGCAGTAAACTGCTTGTTGCTGTGTGTGTTATGGACTCTGGTGGCTGGATATCAAAGTGTCCTTGTGACACCACCCCCGGTGCAAATCTGTTTCTGGGCAACACCCTTGTTTATCTGCATTTCCCGACAGGAGACCCCAGGGAATGCGATGGGTTGGGCTGGGTCAGGAGGTGCCGGGGCGGGCGTGCCACCCTTCCTGCGGTTTGGCTGGCTTGCGTCTTGTCGCCACGCCTCCTGGCTTTCCTGGTGTCTCGTGTTTCTCTGCGCCTTTTCCCACTCAGTTAATTTATGGGCTTTAGGGGTCAATGCACTGAGATTGATGGTGGAAAACAAAAAAGTTTTATGTATGTGTGTGTCCGTTCCAGTAACATACCGGTATGTGACAGTGCCCCTATGTGCCTGTTCCGCCCCCCTCCTTAGACCCTGCCCACTCCCCCTGACTCTGTGCATTTTTTGTAGTTCCTTAGACCCTGGGCCCTGCCTCCACCCCCTGTGCATTTTTTGTAGTTCCTTAGACCCTGGGCCCTGCCC